AAATGAAAAAATAGCGAGGTGTGGTAAACTCCTGCAACGCATACATCTGCGTCATCACTTGCCTAATTTGCACTGTAAAACAAAAGGATAGAATAATAAATGCCTACACTATATATAATTTTTCGTAAACCATTGAAGGGTTTATTATTCCGCCTTTTTCACGAAGGATTTGTTATCCTATGTTGAAAAGTATATTGTTCTGCGCTATTTGTAACAGAGATTCAATATATATAGGATTGCAACTAGTGTTGTTTTTTATTTTTGATCATAATCTATTGAAAGTTCCGTGAAAAACAACAACTTTAGTTCGTCTCTCTTTATGACAATAACAAAATTGCTTTTGTCCATTTTCTTCAGTCTGTACCAATGACAATTCATTGCTATCATCAAGTTTTTATCTATTTTAAACAAAATTGGCCAGCTTCATCATCGAAATCTCAATATTTGTGGAACTCACATATATTTTCGCAGAAAATAGGGAGTGAAATTTGTAAGCTGAAGTTTTACGGTTCGTTCCTCATCACCACAGACCTAAATAACCGCAGACAAAAAGTATCAGGCTTCCTTTTTCCTGAGCTCAGTAGCAACGAAAAAAGCCTCAAGTTATTAATAATGCAGTTTTTTATTTTTATACATGTAAAAACTTATTGTCAAGATGTTACGAACGATACACTATGATACATTGATTTGCCACAGTCATCAAATGATCATCAAAAAAGAAGTATCAACTGATCTCGTTATAATTTGGAAATCCGATCAATATCTGTGTTTACGAGATTATCGTGTTCTATATTAGTCCACTGATATTTGCTGTACATATAATGAATGCGTTTAAAAAAGTGATTTCTCAGTTCAATTAATGGTTAGAATGGCACAACCCATGTCCTCAAAATCGCCACAAAATCGACGATTTTATCGCGAATAATCGCCCGCTTAATCGTGAGATTATATCGCGATATATCGTCAAAACTGACGATTTTTTTGCACTTTTTGCAATAAAATCAACATTCATAAAAAACAACAGGACTTTCATGAAATAGGTAGGTGACATTAAACTGACATTATAAGGCCTTCCTCGACTTCGTTTTCTTCATGTTTCTTGTTCCAAAGAAAGAACCAAATCGAAAGGTAACAAATATAATCTATAGAAAAAGAGGAAATAAGATAACCAAAGAGGTTCGCCACGAAGAAAAATAGAGCTGCTGATATAGTGAGACGAAAAGATGAATGATGTCATGCAATTTCTCATAATATTAGCGATGTGAAGATTTAATTGAAAATCGACGATTTTATCGCGATTTAATCTCACGATTAATCGGGTTAGTAAATCGCGATAAAATCGTTGAAATTGGCGATTTTTGGTGATTTTTCACGGGAAATCGCGATTTATGTGCCATTTCGACAAAAATCGCCGATTAATCGTCCAAAGTGTGGCGGTTTTGAGGACATGGAAATACACCGCCAGAGGGTCTGCATCAACTAACTGCTCCTACTGTTTTCCATTTGTCTTAATTCAAATATATAAACCTAAGTTCAACTCAATATATAGAATAACTTTTTTCTTTTACGCTTATTTTATACAATCAGTCGAACTTTCTATCGTATTGTCGAAGTAAGATGAATCTCAAGAAAAAAATCGAATCATTTCTAACGATGAACTTCTTTTTTCTTTAGATTTATCTTAAAATAGCAATTTATAACCAAGTTCAGTTGATTGTTAAGATAATTCTAAATAAAAAAATCTATATTTTCAATTGAACTTAGAAGAAAAACGCTGGATTGAAAAGTGTCCAAAATTTGCAGCCTTTCAAATTCTACAAAATCTGTATGAAATATAAGAAAAAGACATTGCATTAAGCTGACGATTGACGGAACACAAAACAATTACCAAAGAGTACTTAGCGCAGATTTTCTCATAAACAGACGCTTTTATAACTCGACAGGACCAAATATATTTGACTTTAATGTTTTTGGAATTAAACCTACGAAACTGATCAAAATTTCTATTCCATTTTAAAGCATTACAATTAACACAAAGTGAATATATAAAGGAATCTTCAATTTTACCCTGTTTACAGGTCATTTTTAGTGGATTTAAAAAAAGCAAACTTTTAAGTCTTAGACTACATTCTTTTTTCCTAAAGATATTCCTTATAAATTGCAGACTTTGCTCTATCTGTAGGGGAAAAAACTAGGCTCCTAATACTTTCCGTTTAAACACAACACCAGTTGAGCTTAGTAACAAATTGTTGGATTAAGCTAACTCGTAAGAAGAAGAAAATCATTTCATTGCATTGAATTGATATATACTCTTTTTCTCAGGATTTATCTCAATTCAGTAATATGATGGTTAGTGAAAGTGTACAAGAAATCCTTGCGTATACCCTTCGGAAAATTACATGAAAGGGTATATAGGAAAATTGTGTATCCTTTCGCAAACCTTTTGTGAGGGTTTATAAAAGGATTTGTGGAAATTTGGACATAAAGTAAAAAGGGTTTACTATACGTTACACTTTCATAAATCCTTAAAGGATTTATTATTCTACTCTTTTTTTATAGTATGGTCTTGCATCTATTTTGTACCAACATCGATCGGATCGGATCTAGAAAACCACAAATATCATCATCAGAATGTTCCATAGGCTGTAGAGCTTCCAAAACTTCACCAGAGCACACAACGATGCGCAAGAGTTTCAGGTTTTTGTCACGCTCCTCGTGAACAAATACTTGCTGCACGTTGTCTGTACACAAAAGGCTGTGTGTATGAGTATGAATCGTCCTACGATGTTCTTGTGGGAATCCTATCTTAAGTAGACAGAGTATTCGTTTACACTAATTCATATTCTAATATGTGCCTGCATGACTTCTACTCCATGAATATCACGAAATGATGCTCAAAAGTATTTTAATTGACAATCAAATCAAGATACAGACATTATATTTTCCTATTTTCAATATCATCTATGAATCAGGTCGAGTTTGAATAGAAATGTGCATCGATGAAAAATACTACACAAATAAACATAAACTCAGAAAATCTTTCTTATTTTTTTGGTGCATGTGAGTCTCCTTCTAACGCATCACGCACATTCATACACTCATCTTTCCGATGTATCCTTTCAAATAAAACTACTCAGACTAATTTATAGTGCTCATCCGCTTCATTTGTTTTATCAAGAGAGCGATATACTCTGAAAATGGCATGTATTGCCAAACAGAAATACATTAGTCTATATTCAATTTCAAAATCACGAAAGTTGGCATCTGGTCAACAACATCTATGATAAAACAATCTCTGTTATAAGTTTTATCGTTTCTAGAGAATAGCATTTCACTGAAAAGTATACTTCTAAAAGATATTCCGAACTCAGCAGAGCATCTATAAATTATTCGCAACACATAGATCGCCAGAATGATTCATCTGTTTGAGCTGAACCCTTCACTTAATCCACATTCAGATGTATCTACCTACTATCACAGTATCGACCCAATCAGTAAGATCAAATGAATAAGGTTCTACTCGAATTGGTCATGACTTACGACCAGTGTTTCCAATGGAAATTTAAAGCAAAATGTACTGTACACTCTGTATTTTATTAGCAAAGTGTATTTTATACTTTGTTTTTTTCAGCAAAATGTATCAAAGTGTACGAAAGCCAAATNTCTGAAGCAGGGTGTGGGGTGTGGGTGTGGGTGTGGGTGTGGGTGTGGGTGTGTGGGTGTGGTAGGTCCAGAACTACACCCACACCCACCCACACCCACACCCACACCCACACCCACACCCCACCCACACCCCACCCACACCCACATCCACCCTTTTTGTCCGTTAGGAAGATGATTGGAGCAAAGAAGATTTTTTACAGTGATATTGCTCTTGTTGAACAGTTTATCAACCGATGTACTCAACGAACATTTTCCCTCGAACTCGATTCACCTGATTTTGTGCACAAGATGGAGATCTGTGCCGTTATGTCTCCCTTCGTTAAACTCCTCCGTATCATGTGAATGCACTCATTGCCTGAATAACTTCCTCATTTACAGTTCTATCCAACTGGACTCCACATCTGGGTGAATCGACTTTTTCTGGATGCAATGCCGAGCTCGGCACTTTTCAACGATATGGCATAGCTCAATTTGATAGAATCGAGTCGAGTTTTGACAAAGGCTTTCATGATGTAGTACATAGGCTTTGTTGAATCATGGGGGCATAGTTCAATGTATAGCATCCGACTACAGATCGAGAGGTAATCTGATTCAAACCTGAGTGCTCCCCAACCAATTACCTTTTCGTTTTCTTTCCTTTTTTCATTCGCTCAGTTGTATCATTAGTGGTCTGATTTCGAAATCTTACGATAGCCAAAACCCCACCAGAATTATGGGATAATCTGACGGCCTTATCTCTGAGAAAATCATCTTAAAATCAGGTCACTAGACGAATCAAACATCCAAACAATCGGATCTGGTCATAGCATTTACATAAAATTAATTCGATTTGTAATTGGAGTATTTAGTTCTGTCAATACTTTCGTAGTATGCGTGTCATATGTTAATTTCGACTAGTAGCCCTAAATACGATATGAAATCGTGCTAATTCTGCTAAGATTAAACGTATACATCAACTTTCTCTGCAACTTTCAACAAGTACTGAGAAACTTCGAGACAAATCGAATGGAAAGGATCTCCTCGATCATTTATGCTCTAATATGTTGGGCTATTTTGGCGAAGCGCCAAAGAGAGTGTGTCGCATGGCATATTCTTTGTCGGACAGACATTCTCGCGGTGGAATGAACACATTTGGATCACTAATACCGCCCGAAACATCGTAGAATGACTCGTGACTTGTGCCGTATTTTGGATGCGTAGAAGTCTGGGAAACTGGAAGACAGGCTTCATAGGTCCACGTTCCAATATAACTGACAGTGTCATTTGATGGCGTCGTGTAATTACCACCCCTATCCACAATGACTAGTCTATGGTGAATGAAAATGGAATAAACTGACTCACCAAATAGTGACGAGGAGACCGGTACTGGACGAGGCAGAAGAGCCAATATAGGCTTCGCCGTACGAGCGAGCATCAGGCCGAATAGCGAAGTCACGCCATGGTCGTGTAAGTGGAAGGCGTGAGCAGTTGCGTGCCGTCAAGTTGATCACAAACTCGAGCTGAGCTTGAAATAAGGCGATGGTCTCGTAGTAATAGTCATCGCCAACAACGACTTCTTCGATGAATCGTTCACGTTGATACAGTGAATCATAGCTCAGCTTGCCTTGTACCGTAATTTTCTCATTGTTAATATGATCGACGATGCGTGCTTCCCATTGAGATGGAGATACACATGGTCGCGGCTGTTGAGTAACCACAACACCGACCAAGGACATAAGAATAACCAAGAACATTTGTGTATTTCAGGAAGAAAAATGAAAGGCAAACCGTTGTCGACAATGAATCAGCTATTCTTCATATCTGTGTGTATATGCAACTTATATGCCTATATAGGACATTTTATCAAAGATGTCTTCAATAGCCCAGAGAAAAAAAGGCCTTGTGCAAATATTCTTCCTATCAGCAAGATGATACACGGAGAAAAGAGCGTGGGTGTCTGTAACGTTGCATGTTTTACAAATATCCCGATCTAGACCCACACCCTTACTGTGGAGAGACAGCAGAGAAATAATTATGGTCATTGTTTGTCGACTGATATTTTCTTATTGTGACTAAGCATCGCGCAACATCAATAGAAAGCAGTTCTATGTAAGGGACGACAATGAAGGCGAAAAATATTTCACTGTCCTGCAACAAACGAAGGTAAATATCGAATGATAAGAATGAATTAAATACAAGCTGCAAAGCTCGACCAGATACGGTATCCTATTGCGCACACCATAATTGCGTTTTTACCTATGCAGAGATTGTCGTCGAAGTCATGTGCAGATCTTTGCAAAAGAAATGTTGAACATGATCACACACTATTGTTATCAACAAAAGTGACGCAGGTTCAGATGTACCGATGTGTGAATTGAGCATCAGCATGTGGGCTCAAATTAGCCTCAATAAAAGAAAACAATGCGCAACGGTTGTTCCAGCCTTTGTTGCATAATTACCAAAAATGATCGGACCTAGTTAGAAAAAACGACGGTTACATAACAATGATCGCAGTCAAATCTTTTCTTAAAAAAGCATGTACGATTTCAGACTCATTCCCTTTACAGCAAACAGCTATTCCACAGGCAGCAGCATATTGGTATGAAAGGAGAACCGTCACAATTCGTCACATATGTATGTTCAAGGAAGAGATAAAACCCTCATAAATTCCTTACACAATAATTACAATTGATCGCAATTTGAATAGATATCTTTCATCAATGTTAATCATCAAAAACGCTAAATTGCTTGTTGGAGATTGATGCTTGCTCGCAGTGACGTGTAATTAGGCTTCTTTCTCGAAAAGTCTGTTTCGCTTTCTATCTCACACTTCTTTTCAAAAAGCAATTGATGACATCAGTATTGATTCTCATTCAGATGAATACCCATTCCTAGTGCTCTGCATTGCATCATAGCAGTTTTGACAGTAGCTGCGCGATCCTACTCATCAAAGATAAGATTGCACCCTCTTTGTGAAGGATGTGGGTGTGGACTTGATAAACTCTCCCACACCCACACCCTCAATTTCTACGCAATTGTACATACCTGATCGTACTGTCGAAGTTTCACATGACTTCTTTCTACTAGAAACTACTGACTGACAATATTCCGTTCTATCTTAATGAAAAGTTACATTATTCACGGCATAATTGCAAGAATACGATATTACATTTTAAACCAAATAATGGATACCTAGGAATTCTATGCTTGTTGAATTTTAGAGAAGTTGATGAATAATAAAATTTATGAAACCATCTGTACGTGTTTGACATCCTTCTTACAATATAAACACCATGCTCAACATAGCTTATGTTCACCTATCCGTGTTTTTGACTTTTTCAACTATTATTATCAAGTCAAAACTTCAATAAAAGAAGAGCAGCTTGAAAAATATCTTTTCAACATATTTTCAATTTGAATATTCTGTTAACGTTGAAATTTTCATGTTATATAAGAGTAGACTTTGCTCAATACAATGAAATCATCCTTCGCTTACTTTATCAATGTAAACTTACTTAACGACCGGTATATATATGCATTAACAATAGCATCAAGAAATAGATGTTTTTTGTCAAAACAATCAGCTTTAGAAGCTCTACACACCCTGTAAATTTCATTCAAATTGGAACTGGTCATTGATGAAAGTCTACAGACTTCTGTCTCAGATGGTCCTAAGTGATATATAGAGTGTGGGTATGGGTGTGTTTGGAAGAATACATGTGTGGAACAGCTGAAAAAAATAGAAGACAATTTGTTTTTGTTTCCTCAATAGAAACTTTGTGATGCCATTGTTTTTCATAATTTGAAGATACTTTTTTGGTTAATTAATCAGATAGTATGCAGAAAAAAAAACAATTTGTAAACTACAGTGCTTCTGTAGGATTCTTCAGATCTCTAACTCTGTCTTTTGGTGAAAATCAATATCCTATATTTCTCCTATACAGTTATAAAAATCCAGTGTCAATGGCTCTTTTCAATTTCTAGACTCCAATAGAGTTATACTACGGAGCCAGTACAAAGTTGAAAAGATATAGAAGATATATATATTTACCAGCAATATCTAAAGGGTGGGGTGTGGGTGTGCGAGTACGGGTGCTGGAGGGTGTGGATGTTGGTATGGGTGTGCGGGTGGGGGTGGGGGTTGGTCATTTATCATATCGATTCACTCTCATCCCCACACCCACACCCACCCACACCCCGCACCCTAAACGATCAATATTTGAATTCAGCATATTCGTAGATAGAGCAATCATATCCCATACATCTGATTTGCTTGAACCGATCTATGGAATATGATTCTTATCTCTTGGGAAACATTCAATTCAAATACCAAACGTATAAAACTCCTTGCAAGAAAACGAAAAATAAGGGAGGGTGGATGGGTGGGTGTGGATGTAGGAGTTACTCTTCTTAGACCCACACCCCACATCAACACCCGCTTATAACAATCTGTTCGGTAGAAGCGTCTGAGCTGAAAAAGGTTTTTGAGACCTTTATTGAGATGACAACACAAGAACTCACAGCAGCAAAAATAAAAATCTTTTTCATGGAAAGAAATCCGACCTAAACTTTTCATCGACAGACTGGACAGTTACTACTTCCCACAAGCCAAGCATGGATACATTTTGAATGAAAGTAGTGACTACATCCTGGTAGGCCATGAACACGTTCGCCCTTCACGTAAGTATCGATACAAATAACACAGGAGAACGCCTCATTGTTCATGTATCTCTCATCAATCGTCCAATTCGGCAAATTTGTTCACTTGTGACAGATGCGGCTGGAGTGGACATGGCGACTACACTGCCACTAACACCAACACTTAACGCTGCATGGAAATTTGACAAACCATTCACGCGCATTTCTTGAATTCGATTTCGACGTTCTTTTCGATGGTGAACAAATGTACCTTTTAGGCAAGCAATAATATAAAAAACACTTGTTAAAACGTCAGAGTTTGTTTGATGGGCTTAAAATAATAGCTTACCATTAACATTGTGCCATGTCATCATGATTCCTTCGTTTGTTGGCCTACTGTTTGCATCGAAAACGCGTATTTCAACAACCAACTGCGTATCAAGCGGACGTTTGCCATCACTTCGACGGCTTTCTACACCGACTCTTAACGAAGAATTTTGCGTTTCTTATTCGTACATATGTTCATATTTGTGATTTAGAAAGTCTGAATGTAGTACAAATTTGAAAGAACCAATTGTATCAGGTGGCTGCGTTTCACTTTTACGTCCCTAGTACAGTAAATGTAGCCAAAATGTAAGGTCAGGAAAGTGGGCTTTAAGTTTTTCTATGAACAACCTACAGGGACACGGATGAGATAAGGTAAACTCTTCAATAAAGGATTAAAAGGCAAATGCCGCCTTTCTAACTCACGGAAGAAATCTCTACCTTTGAAATGCATTCCTCGAGCGAAAAATATATTCAGTTTGCTTTTTTCACATTTGAATGGATTTTTCTGGTAGTTTCACAAGCCTTAATGATGACATTTAGCAAAGTGCAGAGAGCTGATCCACCGACCAACTTTCGATGTTGACTTTAGAGTCTTCGCAGGAGCTTACTGAATTATAGACTTTTCAGCCATTCTCTGAGCGGGATTTTATTTACTTGGAGACGCTCTTACGCACACAAGGTATTGGGTAGAAGATACGTTCACCGACTAGAAAAGCTCCTGTATTGCTATTTATTAGCGAAGGTACGCCACGATTGCGCTGTGACTGTGTGTGTGTGGGTGGGGGTTAAGTGTGTGGGTGTGAGTGTCTGTGTCAGTGTAAGCGTTCTTCTCATCAATACCCACAGTCACACCGACATTCACACCCACCCACACACCCACATCCCACATCCACACCCACACCCACCCACACCCACAGCCACAGCCACACCCTCCAGGCTAAAAGAATGAAAATTTTTAATTATAAAATTAACAAAAATAATTCTCGATAAAGTAAATAAATTTGATTTTCTTTTTGTATCTTTCCTTTTTTGTGTTGGTGTTAATTGTTCATCATGTACAGGTAATGATTGTGTTTTACTAAGCGTTGATAATGTCATTCCTGATTGATCTTTAAATGATCGAGTACGTTTATTAATTTGTTGTTGCTGCTGATTATTTCGATCTTTAAGAGAGCGTTTCTATACGCATCGAGGATGGTGCAGCATAGGGTGTGACACATAAAAATTTTGATTTTTGATTTTTTATGTGCATTCGATAGGTCATCATTCGAAACTAAAAACCCCAAATTTTCAGCTCGTTTGAATGTACTATAGTAAAGTTAGGCTTGACCGACTTTTAAGCACTACGTACCTACTGCTCAAAAAATAGTCACANTGGTTCCGGTTATTTATTATAGACTCGCTTCTAGTTATTTTTTACTATTATAAATAATTATGAATGTTCATTAGAAAAGAAGTCGAATCACTTATTCTTTTAACAACAAACAATTTTGCAACTAAAAAAAATTGTTTTGATTTCTTTCTTACGGAGATGAATGATTGTTTTGCATCGATCGATACTTCGAGAGACTTTGATTGATGTCTACGATTGGTGTCGAACAATAGCTTTCACTTTATGTAATTTTAACTTATTTTTTTTCTTTTAAAACAGATTGTTTCACATCGAATGGAAAAAAGCATTATTTCCTGATGTTGTAAATATCTGATCTGTTTTCATTCACATCGCTATCAGTGATGATTTTTTCATTTTGTTCATGTGTTTGGGTATTGAGCAGGTCCTGAACTAGTGTATTACGTGATTGATATTATTGATCACGATCACGAATATTGCAAAGTAATTGAAGTGATAAGAAAATTTTGAATCATTTGATCGAGACATCAGTCCAATTTATTTCATTGGATACATTAAATAGCAATCGAGATCAACGACAATAGTCGATTGTTGTTCTTTGTCTATTTTAGTTTAATATTTTGGACATATGAAAAGCTTTAATACGTGTTCACTTTAACGTTGTGTACGGCTATTCCTGTACGATTTCATAAAAAGGATATAGAACAAGGGGAAACAGTTGACTTTTTGATTTTTTTCTGTTAACTCTCCTGACTTTAGAATGAGTTTTACCTGATTCTAGCTAGCTACAGAGTTAACCCAATGTAAGACGAACGGTACTGTATCGATTGCAAAAAATTTTGACTTTCAATATCTGATTATACTAACTGAATGTAGCTAAACTAGCATTATCAATATGTGACTTGATTGTTCTAGATTGAAAGAGAATGAGAATTTATTGGTAATGAATTTAGTGATTACGAACCTATCTATCATAATGTCAGGCAGACAAGTGTGTGGATTTTGTTTAATCCATTCTGAAGGATGAAATGAATTTTTTTCTTAATTTTATTCATATCATATTCAATTGAAATATTATCAATGTTTAATTATTCAAGAGGTATGGGCGTACATCTGAGTACGGTTCTTTATCTAACACTCATACTCCCAAAATGAGACAAAAGAAGTTAATTAGATATGGTTAGAAAGCCATGGAATTATGCCAAAGTATGATGATTAAAAGAAAGATGATAGTGTAATTAAAGTATCTAAACATTGTTTCGATAAATCAATAGAAATGAAAAAATAAATACGTAGATATTATTTGCAAGTGAATAAATTTAACAAATAAGAATAACCTTTCATATTGTTTAAAGAGTTTGTCTCTATCGATAAATATTATTCTACAAAGATGTGAAAATTTCGCTGTAAGATTGAAAAAGTTTCCCAAAGATACAACAGAATTTAGGAATGAATGAAGGTTCCTTATTCTTCTCCCTTTTAATCATATACGCTGTCAATCTTAGTAGCTGAAGATAATAATATCCAAGAAGTGATCTACAAATTAAATGAACTCTTTTCTTTTGAAGCTTTTACAATTTTTTGCCTTCTCTCTATATCTTCACAATGGTCAAGTCATAAACTATCTAATTTAAGGCAATCAGTTTGTGTTTAAAAACACCAAGTTCTCCTATTTATTTTCAATAAATTCATAACGTTCAAACTATATTCAATTTTTTTTCAAACTGACTTTGATAAGTCTAGACACTCTCATTAATTAATCTGATTATTTATTTATAACTGTATATATACATGATTCAATTCGGTCATTAGAAATGCTTGATATAGTAGATTTACTCTTACTAAAATATTTAAAAGATTATACAAATAAAAATTATCCTCAAAAATCAGGTCGCGAAGAATTTAACATAATTGAAAAATCATCGGTTACTATTAAAACAATGATTAGTACATAAGAATCTTTAAAGCAAACATTTCTTAACATTAGCTATATGCATTAATAATAGTTCTTCTGGTTTTTGAAAAGACATTGCTGATATGGTAAGTACAGTAAGCCAAATATAGTTGAAGAAGTGGCATATATCAGTATTGCACAATATTTCAACAAATCCAAAAATAAATTACATGAAAGAATGAATGGATTATCAAATTTTGTTTTTTCGATGCAAGTAAATTATTCGTAGAATGTCTCAGAGAATTATTGAATATTTTATTTCTATTTTAACTGAAGAATAATACAGCTTATTTTTTATTTTTAGTTTTCTATATTTCGTTAAATTCAGCTTAAAGGGATAATCTCAAAAATATTCTGCGCTTTCTTTTATGCATGATTAACTATTAAAAAATATGACTGTGTTTTTCTTTTATATTCGAAATTATATATTTTTTCTCAAACCACAAGTTCTTTTTTTAATGATAACATACGAAAGTCATTCAATACGTTGTTTGTTATTGAGATATATGAGACAATATATTCTTTTTACACCGAAAATGTTCTTTTTCTTTTTTTCATATTACAAAATACTGTAATAATCTGCTTATGATTCTTTGTGTCTTTCTTTTTACCCAGTGTTGACTCGTTTTTGAAACAACTATATAAGTAACAGAATAAAAACATGCACATACACACATCTACAACATTTTATAATGCTTCGAATCAAACAAGATCCAGAAACATCATTTCTTACGCAAGAACAAGTTTTCGTACCGTTAAAACGAGTAAATGTGGAAGTAACAATTCCTTCATTTGCTGCCGATGTAATTATAACACAAGTATTTCGTAATGATGAAAAGCAACCAATCGAAGCTGTCTATTGTTTTCCAATTGAAGAACAAGCAGCTATTTATTCTTTTACAGCTCGTATTGACGATCGCGAAATTGTCGCTCAATTGAAAGAAAAAAAAGAAGCACAACAAGAATATGATAATGCTTTACAACAAGGACATGGAGCTTATTTATTAGAGCAAGATGAAAATGCTCAAGACAATTTTATTATTAATGTCGGTGCTTTACTTCCATCAAAAGAATGTACTATTACTATTGCTTATGTTACTGAATTAGATTTTGTACAAGGTTCAACAATTCGATTTGTAGTTCCAACAACTATTGCACCTCGTTACAATCTTGACAAAGGTAGTATTGCATCACCTGCAGATACTCATTCAAAATATGTTCAATCAACTCCTTATACAATTGAATTTCGTTGTCGTATCGATAAGATCGCCAGATCTCAACAAGAATATATTGCTCGTATCAATTCACCCCATCTCATCCAATTCAAGTTGATTTTGTCCAACAAGATGTTTATGTAATTACATTTGCTCAACAAAACACACATTTAGATCGAGATATTCTAATTAATATCGAATTGACTGATAAACGAGTTAATACAATTGTTGCTGTTGAACCTAGTGCTGTTATGGCTGCATTTACGCCTACTGAAAAAGATTGTCGTCAATGATTAAATACTGATCAAATAAATGAATTTATCTTTGTTGTTGATTGTAGTGGCTCAATGCAGCTCGTCAAGCTATGTTAGTTTTTCTCAAAAGTTTACCTGTTGATTGTTATTTTAATATTATTCGTTTTGGAACACAATACAAAAATCTTTTTACAGAAATAACCACTATTTATAATGAAAAAAATTCACAAAAAGCTGAACAACTCATTACTAAAATAAAAGCAGATTTAGGTGATACTGAACTAGCGAGTATTTTTCTATATTTTATTACTTTATTTTACTAATTTATTTTTGAATATTTATAGATGGGTCCTCTTCAATGGATTGAACAACATTCACCAAATCAAGGTCGTGCTCGTCAAATATTTCTTCTGACTGATGGTGAAATATCAAATGTTACGGCAGTCCTTGATTCATGTCGTTCAATGGCTTCGTCTACTCGAATCTTTTTTTTTGGTTTGGGAAAATCACCTAGTCAATCTTTAGTTAAAGGTTTTGCTCGATCAACCAATGGTCGATTTGTTTTCGTTCCACCAAATTCAAGTATCGATGTATATGTAGGAGAACAGTTACAGAGAGCTCTTCAACCATGCATTACTAATATTCATGTCAATTGGAACCTTGACGTTAATGTTCAAATTCAAACTGCTCCAAAACAATTACCTCCTGTTTACCTTAATGATTGTCTTATTGTTTATGCTCTTACTAATGATACAACAATCCCATTTGATCATAGTTCTTCTGTAGAACTTCAAATTGAACCTAATCATCGTTTCCTAGCTGTAGCAAAAGTCAATCAAATACCGAGCATTGCTGATAATAAAACAATTGCACGTTTAGCGGCCAAAGCGCTTATTCTGGAATTACAACATGCTAAACTTCCGTCATCAACTGCCAACAAAAGAAAAACAGGTTCGACACAAGCACGATTTCAAAATATGGTAGTACTCTGAAAAAAAAAAGGTTCCGTGAGAAAATACGAAACCTTCGGGGTTCAGTACAAAACCATTAGGATTTAGTCGAAAACCATTGGGGTTTCGTACCAAAGATAATGGTTTTGTACTGAACCCCGAAGGTTTCGTATTTTCTCACGGAACCTTTTTTTGCTGTACAGAACCTAAAAAAAGGTTCTGTAAGAGATGGTTCTGCTACTGGGTAAAAGACAGAACCCTCAAAAGGTTCTGTCGAATTTTTTATCCGTTTTTTGAGACTTTGGACACATTTGGATGCTTTTAGAAATCTACAGAACCTTTTTGAGGGGTTCCGCAAACCTCCTTTTTTTTTCAGAGTATCAGACGAAGAAAAAATGGAAGTGATTTGCGATGAACAGACAACCAAGCAACAAATCATTGAATTATCATTGAAATACAATATCTTAAGTCCACATACAGCATTCATCGGTATAGAGAAGCGAACAAATGCAAACAATACTGGCAGGATGCTACGTGAAGTACCAATTGAAATTTCTGCTGATGATCAGCATTTATTTACGCCATCAAGATTACACTTCTTGGGTGGTGGTGCAGTTCGTCATAGTGCAGGCATTCGATCTGGTGCTGGTGGTGGTTTTGGGGGCAGTAGAGCAAAGAAAGCTAAACAAACAGCCCGGAAATCGATGAATATGATAAGTTCGAATGCATTCGCTTTTAATTTGTCTGCACCGATGGAGTTGTCTCTTTGTTCATACGGTGCACAAAATGAAAGTGATTGTTCACCATTACGAAACCGACCTATCCAAATAGATGCTGAAGATTTCGTACGTGAGTCTAGAACCATCCGTCAAAACTATGAAGTATGGCCCTCAACTGATCAAGATATTGTTCGTTATTTGATCAACAAACAAAAGTTTAATTGTCGATGGAATTTAGACGATGATATTATCAAGAACTTAACAGGAAAATCTCTTTCAATTTTCCAATCAACAAATCCAAATATTGGCCATCAAATATTAATTTCAATCATTATTATCATTACACTTGAGACCCGATTTTCTGGCTTCTCCTCATTATGACATGGTGTTGTTGAAAAAGCCCGTAAACAACTCATTGATTTGATTGAAAAAGATTCAAAAACTTTTGATACACTATTTGACGATATTCGTAAACAACTTTGAATGATATTTAATTGCTTAGAACATCTTTTGTTTGTTTTTCATTTATTTTTAAAATAAAAAGTTTTGAGGGGTCCACAATAAATCAAACTTATCCTGGCCTAACTTTTATTTAAGGCTAAACGCAGTATTTGCTCCCTTAAATCCCTTTAGTTCCTTTACTCCCTTTATTGTTCGTAGGTAATAAAAGGCCTAGAGATGCGCAAGTTAAGCTCAGCTCCTGGAACTGAGCTACCCGAAAAGCTTTGCCCTCGTTCTTTCTTGCAAGGCACTTCCGGGTTCAAAAACCTGTTGTTCTGTTTTTGGGAAAAGTACATTCGGGTTCATAAAAACTTTGTCCCATTTTTAGGGAGAATACTTCCGGTTTTAAGATACCGACCAAATTTTTTGCCGGTAGTTCAGTTTGTTGAATTGATTTTTTGAAACAAATCTCTGAGCTGAAGTGAAAAGCTTCAACGGTTTATTAGCTCATTTGAGTTGAGCAGCAGAGCTGGAACTTGCTTTGGTCTAAAAGGGAACTCAAGAGACTAAAAGGATTAAAGGAACTAGAGGGATTAAAGATGCTTGTAATTGTATAGGAAAGTTAGAGCAGGATAGCTTTAATTTCTTGTCGACCTATACTCTATCATCAGAAGGATTTCAATGTTAACCAAAGCATCATTTATTATTGTAAATTATCTTCATTTCCTAAGAAACTAAAATATTCGATTTTTGAAAATGTGATACTGTACAACAAGGATACATTCAGAAGAATAAGAAAATGAACAAATAATACATTTTTATTATAGTTTTATTCCGCAAATTAAGTTCTTTATTCAATGAACCAGTCACAAAGTATGCCAAATTGATTTTCTGATTCGATTAATCAATCAAAAAATCTCATTTTCTTCTTTGTTTACTTGTTATTCAAACTACATATTACAGCATTTAAATTCTCCTTTATTCAGCACAATTTCGCCATCATCAGTTCATCAACCTAGTGACATTGTCAATAAAATTTATTCACAAAATCTTAAATCTTTTATTCAAATATGTATCTATTCTAGTAATGATAGAAGTTCACTTACCGAAGAGGCTAAAGATGAACTTCAAATGAATAGAATTTTTTATTAAAATAAGAAAAAAACAATATAGACGATCCGGCAGTTCTATCGATGGATTTATTAAGGACGCATGACAATAGCTTATATGATTTTATTTTACTTCTATATTCACTTTTTTTCAAATCATATTAAACTTAAATTAGCGCTAATTTAAATATGATGAAATCTGAATTAATCACAATCAAGGACTTATTGTATTGGTTCTGGTATATTAACTACAACTGACAGAGAGTAATTCGATAATATTTATACTGATTGTATTTAAAAAATTATATTTGGTAAAATTTTGCTGTTGCAACTTATTAAAATTAAAGCAATTGGGTTACTTCTGAGTTTTTCGCAAAGTAAACTTGAGCAAATATCTAATGTCGGATTTTTTTAAAAGTATTAACGACCATTTTCTGAATAACTTTTGATTACTTTGAGTTATCGAGCTGCGGTTTTCACCATTCAAAAGAGCAAGCCGGGGGCTACAAAATCCTANAAGGTTCAACAATTCGATTTGTAGTTCCAACAACTATTGCACCTCGTTACAATCTTGACAAAGGTAGTATTGCATCACCTGCAGATACTCATTCAAAATATGTTCAATCAACTCCTTATACAATTGAATTTCGTTGTCGTATCGATAAGATCGCCAGATCTCAACAAGAATATATTGCTCGTATCAATTCACCCCATCTCATCCAATTCAAGTTGATTTTGCCCAACAAGATGCTTATGTAATTACATTTGCTTAACAAAATACACATTTAGATCGAGATATTCTAATTAATATCGAAATGACTGATAAACGAGTTAATACAATTGTTGCTGTTGAACCTAGTGCTGTTATGGCTGCATTTACGCCTACTGAAGAAGATTGTCGTCAAGGATTAAATACTGATCAAATAAATGAATTTATCTTTGTTGTTGATTGTAGTGGCTCAATGCAGCTCGTCAAACTATGTTAGTTTGTCTCAAAAATTTACCTGTTGATTGTTATTTTAATATTATTCGTTTTGGAACACAATACAAAAGTCTTTTTACAGAAATAACCACTATTTATAATGAAGAAAATTCACAAAAAGCTGAACAACTCATTACTAAAATGAAAGCAGATTTAGGTGGTACTGAACTAGTGAGTATTTTTCTATATTTTGTTACTTTTATTTTACTAATTTATTTTTGAATATTTATAGATGGGTCCTCTTCAATGGATTGAACAACATTCACCAAATCAAGGTCGTGCTCGTCAAATATTTCTTCTAACTGATGGTGAAATATCAAATGTTACGGCAGTCCTTGATTCATGTCGTTCAATGGCTTCGTCTACTCGAATCTTTTCTTTTGGTTTGGGAAAACCACCTAGTCAATCTTTAGTTAAATGTTTTGCTCGATCAACCAATGGTCGATTTGTTTTCGTTCCACCAAATTCAAGTGTCGATATATATGTAGGAGAACAGTTACAGAGAGCTCTTCAACCATGCATTACTAATATTCATGTCAATTGGAACCTTGACGTTAATGTTCAAATTCAAACTGCTCCAAAATAATTACCTCCTGTTTACCTTAATAATCGTCTTATTGTTTATGCTCTTACTAATGATACAACAATCCCGTTTGATCATAATTCTTCTGTAGAACTTCAAATTGGACCTAATCATCGTTTCCTAGCTGTAGCAAAAGTCAATCAAATACCGAGCATGACTGATAATAAAACAATTGCACGTCTAGCGGGTAAAGCGCTTATTCTGGAATTATAATATGCTAAACTTCCGTCATCAACTGCCAACAAAAGAAAAACAGGTTCGACACAAGCACGATTTCAAAATATGATAGCATCACACGAAGAAAAAATGGAAGTGATGTCCGATGAACACACAACCAAGCAACGAATCATTGAATTATCATTGAAAACAATATCTTAAGTCCATATACAGCATTCATCGGTATAGAAAAGAGGACAAATACAAGCAATGCTGACATGCTGCTACGTGAAGTACCAATTGAAATTTCTGCTGACGATCAGCATTTATTTACGCCATCAAGATTATACTTCTTGGATGGTGGTGCAGTTCATCATAGTGCAGGCATTCGATCTGGTACTGGTGGCGGTTTTGGAGGCAGTTGAGCAAAGAAAGCTAAACAAACAGCCCGGAAATCGATGAATATGATAAATTCGAATGCATTCGCTTTTAATTTGTCTGCACCGATGGAGTTGTCTCTTTGTTCATACGGTGCACAAAATGAAAGTGATTGTTCATCATTACGAAACCGACCTATCCAAATAGATGCTGAAGATTTCGTATGTGAGTCTAGAACCATCCGTCAAAACTATGAAGTATGGCACTCAAGTGATCAAGATATTGTTCATTATTTGATCAACAAACAAAAGTTTAATGGTCGATGGAATTTAGACGATGATATTATCAAGAACTTAACAGGAAAATCTCTTTCAATTTTCCAATCAACAAATCCAAATATTGGCCATCAAATATTAATTTCAATCATTATTATCATTGTACTTGAGACCCGATTTTCTAGCTTTTCCTCATTATGGCATGGTGTTGTTGAAAAAGCCCGTAAACAACTCATTGATTTGATTAAACAAGATTCAAAAAATTTTGATACACTATTTGGCGATATTCGTAAACAACTTTGAATGATATTTAATTGCATAGAACATCTTTTGTTTTTTTTTCATTTATTTTTAAAATAAAAAGTTTTGAGGGGGTCCACAATAAATCAAACTTGTCCTGGTCTAACTTTTATTTAAGGCTAAATGCAGTATTTGCTCCCTTTAATCTCTTTAGTTCCTTTACTCCCTTTATTGTCCGTAGGTAATAAAAGGCCTAGAGATGCGCAAGTTAAGCTCAGCTCCTGGAACTGAGCTACTCGAAAAGCTTTGCCCTCGTTCTTTCTTGCAAGGCACTTCCGGGTTCAAAAACCTGTTGTTCTGTTTTTGGGAAAAGTGCATTCGGGTTCATAAAAACTTTGTTCCATTTTTCGGGAGAATACTTTCGGTTTTAAGATACCGAGCAAATTTTTTGCCGGTAGTTAAGTTTCTTGAATTGATTTTTTGAAACAAGTCTCTGATCTGAAGTGAAAAGCTTCAACGGTTTATTAGCTCATTTGATTTGAGCAGAAGAGCTGGAACTTGCTTAGGTCTAAAAGGGGACTCAAGGGACTAAAAGGATTAAAGGAACTAGAGGGATTAAAGATGCTTGTAATTGTACAGGAAAGTTAGGGCAGGATAGCTTTAATTTCTTGTCGACCTATACTCTATCATCAGAAGGATTTCAATGTTAACCAAAGTATCGTTTATTATTGTAAATTATCTTCATTTCCTAAGAAACTAAAATATTCGATTTTTGAAAAGGTGATACTGTACATCAAAGATACATTCAGAAGAATAAGAAAATGAACAAACAATACATTTTTATTATAGTTTTATTCCGCAAATTAAGTTCTTTATTCAATGAACCAGCCACAAAGTATGTCAAATTGATTTTCTGATTCGATTAATCAATCAAAAAATCTCATTTTCTCCTTTGTTTACTTGTTATTCAAACTATATATTACAGCATTTAAATTCTCCTTTATTCAACACAATATTGCCATCATCAGTTCATCAACCAAGTGATATTGTCAATCAAATTTATTCACAAAATCTTAAATCTTTTATTCAAATATGTATCTATGCTAGTAATGATAGAAGTTCACTTATCGAAGNTCTCAAAAATTTACCTGTTGATTGTTATTTTAATATTATTCGTTTTGGAACACAATACAAAAGTCTTTTTACAGAAATAACCACTATTTATAATGAAGAAAATTCACAAAAAGCTGAACAACTCGTTACTAAAATGAAAGCAGATTTAGGTGGTACTGAACTAGTGAGTATTTTTCTATATTTTATTACTTTTCTTTTACTAATTTATTTTTGAATATTTATAGATGGGTCCTCTTCAATGGATTGAACAACATGCAACAAATCAAGGTCATGCTCGTCAAATATTTCTTCTGACTGATGGTGAAATGTCAAATGTTACGACACTCCTTAATTTGTGTCGTTCAATGGCTTCGTCTACTCGAATCTTTTGGTTTGGGAAAATCACCTAGTTGATCTTTAGTTAAAGGTCTTGCTCGATCAACCAATGGTCGATTTGTTTTCGTTCCACCAAATTCAAGTGTCGATGTATATGTAGGAGAACAATTACAGAGAGCTCTTCAACCATGGATTACTAACATTCATGTCAATTGGAACCTTGACGTTAATGTTCAAATTCAAACTGCTCCAAAATAATTCCCTCCTGTTTACCTTAATGATCGTCTTATTGTTTATGCTCCTAATAATGATACAACACTCCCATTTGATCATAATTCTTCTGTAGAACTTCAAATTGGACCTAATCATCGTTTCCTAGCTGTAGCAAAAGTCAATCAAATACCGAGCATGACTGATAATAAAACAATTGCACGTCTAGCGGCTAAAGCGCTTATTCTGGAATTATAACATGCTAAACTTCCGTCATCAACTGCCAACAAAAGAAAAACAGGTTCGACACAAGCACGATTTCAAAATATGATAGCATCAGACGAAGAAAAAATGGAAGTGATGTCCGATGAACAGACAACCAAGCAACGAATCATTGAATTATCATTGAAATACAATATCTTAAGTCCATATACAGCATTCATCGGTATAGAGAAGCGAACAAATGCAAACAATGCTGACATGATGTTACGTGAAGTACCAATTGAAATTTCTGCTGATGATCAGCATTTATTTACGCCATCAAGATTACACTTCTTGGGTGATGGTGCAGTTCATCATAGTGCAGGCATTCGATCTGGTGCTGGTGGCGGTTTTGGGGGCAGTGAAGCAAAGAAAGCTAAACAAACAGCCCGGAAATCGATGAATACGATAAGTTCGAATGCATTCGCTTACGAAACCGACCTATCCAAATAGATGCTGAAGATTTCGTATGTGAGTCTAGAACCATCCGTCAAAACTATGAAGTATGGCACTCAAGTGATCAAGATATTGTTCGTTATTTGAACAACAAACAAAAGTTTAATGGTCGATGGAATTTAGACGATGATATTATGAAGAACTTAACAGGAAAATCTCTTTCAATTTTTCAATCAACAAATCCAAATATTGACAATCAAATATTAATTTCAATCATTATTATCATTATACTTGAGACCCGACTTTCTAGCTTTTCCTCATTATGGCATGGTGTTGTTGAAAAAGCCCGTAAACAACTCATTGATTTGATTAAACAAGATTCAAAAAATTTTGATACACTATTTGACGATATTCGTAAACAACTTTGAATGATATTTAATTGCATAGAACATCTTTTGTTTTTTTTTTCATTTATTTTTAAAATAAAAAGTTTTGAGGGGGTCCACAATAAATCAAACTTGTCCTGGTCTAACTTTTATTTAAGGCTAAATGCAGTATTTGCTCCCTTTAATCTCTTTAGTTCCTTTACTCCCTTTATTGTCCGTAGGTAATAAAAGGCCTAGANGGGGTGTGGGTGTGGGGGGTGGGTGGGGTGTGGGTGGGATGGGGTGTGGGTGTGATGGGGTGTGGGTGGGTGTTGGTTAATGTGGATGCAGTTGAGGGTGAAGAGAAGAATCTAGCATGCACACTCAGACCCCAAACCCACACCCCACACCCACACCCGCATCCATCTTTGAGTATTCCATAAAAGGATTTTGAAATGTGACTGAAACTCAGTTGTAATTTTATTACATTGCAGGGATTAAAAACTTTTCTATCGTAACTATGAAAAGATTGCGGAGTATCTATGCAGAGGAGTTTACTTTTGCAATATATCTGAAGCTTAATCGAAACTAATCGATAATAGAAGGGCGAGAAAAATTTTCGATTGTAGCCTATTCGAATATAGAAAATCTGTGATTTCCATCGTACTGAATAATCATAACACCAGAATTTTCTGTTTCCAGTATACAAAGTTCATCGATGAAGATTTCTCGACTTTGAGGAATCCCTATTTGAAGACGCTTAAATTTCCAACACTCGAAAAAATAGGAGGACGCGCTTGAAATCATTAATATTCAAAATTCTACCATATCAATTGTAAAAGTGTTCAATACTTGACAATTCGATAATAGACAAAGTACATTTTCAAAGAAAATTCAAAACCAACTTTTGAATTAAAAGGGTATGGGTGTGTGGGTGTAGGTGTAGGTGGGAATGTTGATGTGGGTGTAGCTTTTCTCTCTACTCACATCCGTACTCACACCGTTGGTGGGTATGGGTGAAAGAAATACTAACATCCAAACTCACACTCACATACACACCCACTAACACACCCATACCGATGCGGGTGCGACTTCTGTTGCAGCTTCAGGTCTGACTGCGTCTTTGAACTGGCACTCTATTCTATTAGCAAATTTCATATAATATGTATAACAAATGTGTTTATTGATGTGATAAACTATTTTTACAAGAACTCAAAATTTAGACACAAAGTATTCATGATAATCTTATTGAAAAGCTTGAAAGATGAATAGACTATGACAAAATCTATTTAATAAATAGTTAAGAAACTATATCAAGAATGTAAAAAGATTGTTGTTTCATCATTATTAAAAATAGTATAATTGACCTACGGTTTTTTCATTGTTCGAATTAGTAGTTTTGAAAAAAATGAAAACTTCATTTTATAAATATTGTTTGAGTAATGAAGGCCAACTAAGCATCGGTAATCAATATTAAGTGTCAATTACATGCATACAAAATATTGGTTTGGTAGTAGCAACAACTCAAAGAACTGCTCTCAACGCTCTGTTTTTGTTCACTCGACCTTTTCAAGTACTAAATAATTTTTATATCGAGACTATGATCATTCGATGAATGTTCGTGGTAAACTTTGTACTTATCTTCATATTTCATCAACAAAAAAAGCTGAAACGTTCAGAATGAACTATTTCCGTTGAGAATATTATTTGCAAAAAGTCTCAAGTCTAAACTCAAACGTCAATTTTCAACGTGATTTGCAGGAAGCTACGGAACTTTGTCAAAATATCTGCAAAAAAAATCTATTTTACAAAAGTCCTATGAACAACGGAATCTGGTTACCCACAGATAATTAACATCAAGTGCGAAGTATAAATACATAAAATAGCAAGTTGTCAGATAAAATACTTGTAGAAATTTATTCTGGCTTCTCTTTTTCTTCGACGTACTCTAGACATGTACTCACAACACACACAAACATTCCTACTCTTTCCACATCATCACCTATAGTAGTACATATTGCTGATTTTTTTTTTGGTTTTTTTAACTTCACCTTTGTAATAAAACAAGGTAAGCAAACAAACCATTGGTTGCATGCATATTACTTTGACTTTCGACTATATGTTTTGATTCATAACCGTGACAACCATATTTTCTATACCAAATCAGCATCTTATTCATATTTTTTCTGATGAATATCGATGATTATTGTATGACCTTGCAGTCAACTGAAATAATGCATAAAACTTGCATAGCATATACTAAGAAAAAAATTGGTCGTTATATTCTACTACCAATTTTGTTATGTTTTTTTTTGCTCGTTCTTATATATTTCTTCATTACTGTTGTCGCTCCTGATTTAGTTATGCATTATACTTTACACGCGTCTTGCGTATGCTGCTCTCTAGGCCGATGCAATAGAATTTTCTTTTCTTAACTACTTTTCTTACACAATTTCTTGTAATTTCACATGCACGAGTTGAACGAACAGTTCCAAAGTTTATCTCATACACATAAAGCATGTTATCTTTTTTTATTATTCAGAATTATCAATTATTTAACTGTGGACAATTTATATAAATAATGATGGACAATAATCGAAAAGCAACAACTCTCAAGTAGGCAAATCAATTAATAAATTCTTTTACACAAAGTATTTTCTGTTATCGAAAAATTCATTTATACTATTTTTCATTATATGAAACCTATGATTCCAAGTCATAATGACCAAAAACCTCTATCTTTTTGATGAGTAAAGGAATAGATTCAATCATATATTTTTGCGAATTACTCATTAAGTCAACGATGCCTAAACTATACAAAAAAACATGATTGTTTTGAGAGTCTTTATTAAACAGGAAAACCGTTTAACATGAAAAGAATAAGGTTTTCAACAAATCTCCATGATGTTTTATTGATGAAGATTTACGTCACAGGTTGGATGATGTTAGTAAATGTCAGACATTCTGTCTATATAAGTTTTTGTTCGTTTGATTTTTTCTTTTGAAAAATAAATCTCTTGTAATCGATTAAACAATTCAAACAAATATAGTTCATTTCCATTTCCAACACATCGAAATGA